GACTTCTCTAAGTTGCATTCCATTACCGTAATGATGTTGCACTTTCATGACATTCTTATGAATTGCTGCATGCAGTTATTCTCTTCCTTCATAAATATCTAAATATATTTTTTTTTAAGAAAATAAAGAAATGTGGAAAGGAATCAATATGAGAGGTTGAGGGCTTTATCAACTAGAAAATATTTGTTTATGTTCAACTCATTTACTATTGAGTTGAAAGCAATCATTATGAAAATTCATTGACCATTGTTTGATTAATTAATGGTTTTGACTACATGAATTGAGAATGGTAAAAGTTGTGCTAGCTCTTTTAAGAATCCTAGAACTCAAAGCATGTGCTGGCCCTGATTTTGTATAATATATTTGATATGTGCACAATCTACTTGATATTTGTAGAATATACTTGAAAATTGAGTTTGTACTAGCTCTTTTTAAGAATCATAGAACTCAAAGCATGTGTTGGAACTGATTTGTATAATATATTTGATATTTGCACAATCTACTTGATATTTGTAGAATATACTTGATACTTCTTAATAATAAAATACAAGTAAAATGAACTTGTACGTTCGTGTGAGACTGATATAAGCTCTTTAAGAAATAAGTTGAAAGGCTTTGTTGACATTTGTAAGCTAAAATTATACTGGAAAACATGTGTTCTTATAGTTATTATTAGTATTGTGATCACCCGTTCCGAATTATCTGCTTTTACCTGCTGCCAAATCAAGGTAACTTCCTTTTCTTTTCAATTACCCACAAAGAGTTCACTTGCTCAATCTGATCCTTTCATGGAAGATTCTCAAACATCCGAGACACATGGATAATCTTCCCTTGAACTTATCAAGATTACTACAATTCCACCATCACTCAAATCTCTCATGATTAATATCAAGAATATTTGCTAAATTCAGTTATTAGCTGATAATTATCTCCTTTGGAGAGCCCAAATCATGAAAATTTTCACAACAAAAGGTTTCCTAGGGTTTTTAGATGGTAGCAATTCATGTCCCTCAAAATTTTTCATTAACACAGCCACCCCTCAAACTTCAATACCTTTTCATTGATAAAAATATGGCCACTACATTGTATTCTAGTATATCCCCAACAATGCTACATTATATTCTTAACCTCCCTATCACATATGATATTTAGCCCTTCTTGAAGATACTACAACCCACCAGCTGGTCACATCTTATACAATTTATTTGTGACTTGTGTTGGGGAAATATATTAGTATAACTGATAAAACACGATCGTACTCATATTTTTTTCTTAACAAGTTGCATATGAGAGCTTGTTCTGGATTAAATATGCTAGATAAATATACTTAAATTTTTAATTTTTGATTGTCCTGGAACATGCTCTTGGTTGATTTATCCCTTACATAACAATGTTATATCAGTTGTACTGATTTATTTTTTATAGTTTTGGTGAAAATTATATTTATACAACCAATAAAACACAATTGTATTTAAGAAAATAAGACTACCTAATTGAGTTTGAGAAAATTTGGTTAGAAAATTAAATAGCCCATAGAGAAAGATTGGTTTTTTTTTCTTCTCTTTTAACTTTAATTGTTATGGAGCACGCATACAACCATGTTGTATTGGTTGTACTGATTTTTTTTCATGAATTTGTAGGACCTTCTGTTAAAATAGTCAAGTAATGATGTCAATCATAAGAATTATGAATGAATCACAGAAAACTTATTTGGCATGATTGTTCACAATGAGGAGGCGTATGATTTGTATTATAGTTATGCCCACTCTCGTGGATTTAGTGTAAGGAAGGATCACATGTGTTACTGGACAATACAAGAAAAATAAAAACAAAGAATTGTGTATGCTCAAAGGCTGGTTTTAAGAAAGGACCCAATCTAAACACTACGGTGAAGTTCCAAAAATTAGACACTAAAAATGGTCGTCATACAATGATTAGATTTTTCGATGATCCTGAAGGTAATTGAATTGTGAATAAATTTATAAGTAACCACAACCATTCATTAACTATGCCAATTGATCAACATTTGTTGAGATCACATCAAAGAATAAGTAAAGACAAAATAATAGTGTTGCAATCGATGACACAAGCAGGAATTAGAGCTATTAATGCATTCTGGTATCTTGTTGAAGAAGTAGGAGTAGAGTGGGTTTTACACAAAGAAATGCATTTAAGTATATACAAAAAGATAAAAGTGAAAAAAATTGAGAATGTGGATAATAATGTTCTAATGCAATTATTCAAGGAAAGATAGACTGAAGATGATATGTTTGCATGAGATGTCAAATTTTATGAATCATATAAACTGACTAGTTTGTTTTGGACTAATGGTATGACAAGGGTTGGCTACTGCTGCTTTAGAGATTTCATAGTTTTTGATATAATTATCGATTTAATAAATAAAATTTAGTTTGTGCTCCTTTTATGGAATTAATTATTATTGACAAAATGTTTTGTTTTGAGTAGCCTTTCTATCAGAAGAGACAATTGAGTCATTCAATTGGCTACTCAAACTATTATTTGCACAATGAATGATAAATATTCATCAATAATATTCACTGATGAAGACTAAATAATAACAAAATCCAAGAAATTGCATTACCTCACACTCAACAAATTATGTCAATTACATATCTATAAGAAGGTTCCTTTAAAAGTGTATTGCTTCAATAATAACAGACAGTAAAAGGAGTATTCTACATGCATGAGTACGTGATACTGAAGAGGAGTTTGAGCAAGCATGGTCTGTGATGATGGAAAAAGGAAACTTCCATGACAATTCTTGGCTAAACAAGTTATATAGATATAAAAGCAAGTGATCTAAAACATTCATTAAAGATACTTTTTGTATGAAAGTTTTATTAACACAATGTAGTGAGTACAAATAAGGTGTGCCATGAAATTTATAAGCCTACAAGCTCCATCATCAATTGTTTATTGAGAATGAAAAATGTCATATAGAAGAAATAAACAAGATGAAGTGTTTAAATGTAGCCAGTTAAGATTATTCCCGTTGTTAGAAGCAACCCGATACTGAAGCAACCCGCAACATTCTATATAAGGAAGCTATATCTTTCTTTGAAGAAGAATTTCTATATTGAGCTTAAGAACTAGTGACAAAAAAACAAATGACAATAATTCTTCAGAATACATGATTAGAAACTTGGACAATAATAAAAATTCTAAGATTTTGATTGTTCAAAATGTTAAAATCAGTTCCACTATATAGTGTAATTGCAAGAAATTTGAGATGATTTAATGATTTTATCTAAAATGTAAAAGAAATACATTTTTGTATATAAAAGAAGAAAAAAGAGAAAAAAAATACTCCGTACAACCATGCACAATATGATTGTATTAAAAAAAATTATATATATATAAATCAAAGATACGTTCATGTACAACATGATTGTGCAAGGAAAAAAAATTAGACAATATTTACGTTCTACTAAAAAAAGATATATATACATGAAAAGAAAACACTCGGCCCAACTGTGAACATTTTTAGAATAACAAAAAAATAATCACACAACATGATTGTACAAGGAAAAAAATTAGACAATATTTACGTTATACTAAAAAAAGATATATATGCATGAGAAGAAAACACTCGGCCCGACTGTGAACATTTTTAGAATAACAAAAAAATAATCATTTCAAAATAGTTTTACTCAAAAAAATATTAATAGAACAAATACAAAATGGTTATACTTGAGAAACATACAAAAAAAAAAAAAACATTTCTTTCAATTAGAAATCAAAAAAACTTTTTTAAGTAAATGACAAGGATTAGGTCACATTTACAACTATATTTATGTATTTACTTACCAAAGAGAAATGAGAAATTTCAGACACACAGATGTCGTATGTTGTGTTTTGAATTCTATGAGAATCCTAGCATCTTCTTCGTCATTATACTGGGAGACAAGCTGACAAGTGGAGCCTTAGAATGAGAGCATCTCAACAAGCGGGAATAAAGGAATAAAATAGTTCCAAAAAGTGTAAAAGTCTAACCTTGATGCAATGGAGGAATCTCCTTTGTGGGGAAGAAAATACTAAATCCAAACCTTGGATAACCATAGAAATCTTGAATATAGAAGAGAAAATGCCAATCTTAGAATCAGGAACATCAAATGAAACCATGGGTCAAGAGCCTCAATATCTGTATTTTAATACTTAATGTTTTCTTCTAAACATGCTCTGGGTCAAGAGCCTCGATATCTGTATTTTAATACTTAATGTTCTTCTTCTAAACATGCTAGGAAAATTTTTCTGTCTGGACTCCGGACGTAGCTCTACGTGCGGACTCCGTAATATGTCGTCACATGTGCTATATCGCAGAGGTTATTAGGGAGTTGTTGAAGTGAAATCACAGATGTTATCAAGAGGTTATTGGAGGTTGTGAGGGGATTATTGTGAGGGTTAATGTAGGAGGTTATTGAAGTAGAACCACAGAGAGGTTATTAGGGAGTTGTTGAAGTGAAATTACAGATGTTATCAAGAGGTTATTGGGGGTTGTGAGGGGGTTATTGTGGGGTTAATGTAGGAGGTTATTGAAGTAGAACCACAGAGGTTATTGGGGAGTTATTACGGGGTTGTGGCATGGAGTTATTGAAGTGGAACCGTGAAGGTTATTGTGGTTATTTGGGGGATTATTGGGGGTTATTGCAGGGTGTTATTGGAGTGAAACCGAGGAAGTTATTGGGGGTTATTGTTGTGTTATTGGAGTTAATACCTCACTAACCCCTAATAACCTCCTAATAATTCATCGCAGTTCCACTTAAATAACATCTACGGTTCCACTTCAATAATCTCTGTTGTTCCACTTTAATATTTTTTTTTTGGGTGGATCCTATATAGCACACATGGCGTTTATTACCGCATGTCTGCACTGTCTATTTTATTTTCTTTCAAATAAAATAATAGTAATAAATATTTAACACAATGGTAATTTTTGATTGACTTCTGCAACCTAATGATGGGGATTAATAAACACAAAAATGCGGGGACGAAGATTCTTCTCGGCCTCCGCCTTCAAATATCAATTCCGCGATTCGTATGACTTCACTCGGCTCCTTCGGTCTTCATCCGGCTTCCAAAGCCTCAGAGCAATCCACGCACGGATTTTAACAGCAGGGCTCCATCAAAACCCTTTTCTCGCAGCCAGTCTCGTCTCCCGATATGCTTCACTCGGCTCCCACTACTTCACCGTCGCCCGCAAGGTGTTTGACTATTTGCGCCATCCGGATGCCGTCGTCTATAACGTCATCATCCGCTGCTATGCTGCCTCCAGCCTTCCGGCAGAAGCCACAGCGATCTACGCCCAGATGCTTTGCAATGGCGCAGTTCGCCCCAATCTCTACACTTACCCATTCGTTTTCAAGGCCTGTGCGGCCAGCGGCTGCCAGAGAATCGGCCGAGCAATCCATTCTCACGCCATTAGAGCTGGGGCTGGTGGCGATCTCTTCGTCAACAACTCACTTGTCGCGCTTTACGCTAAATGTGCGCATATGGAGACTGCGAAGATGGTGTTTGAAAAAATGCCGTACAAAGATCTTGTTAGCTGGAACTCGTTGATCTCTGGCTACGCCCAGAACGGATACCATTATGAAGCCTTGGAACTTCTGCATAGAATGCTGCCTGAAAATTTGCCCGATCATGTTACGCTTGTCTCTGTTCTTCCGGCATCCATGGTTCTGGCTTCCATTGCGGAAGGCATGTGGATCCACAGCTATGCATTGAAGAGAGGCATTGGAGTAGACGCAGCTGTGGGTAGTGGGCTCATCGAAATGTATGCAAATTGTGGACGTTTAGGTGTTGCTCAGAGGGTGTTTGATCAAATTACGGAGAAGAATGTTGTCGTGTATAACTCAATGATAAGAGCTTTTGGAATACATGGGCAAGCTTCAGCAGCTCTGGATATATTTTCAGAAATGCTGATATGTGGAATTAAGCCTGACTCCATTTGCTTTGTGTCAATACTTTCTGCTTGTAGCCATGCGGGGTTGGTTGAAGAGGGATTTAAGATTTTTGACAGGATGGAAGCTGAATATGAAGTGGAGAAAGGCCAAATACATTATGCTTGCATGGTGGATCTGCTGGGACGTTCAGGGAAACTAAAGAGGGCATTGGAGTTCATCTATAGAATGCCAATGGAGCCTGGGCGAGATGTGTTGGGTGCATTGCTAGGAGCTTGTAAAGCTCACAAAAATGTCGAGCTTGGGATTGAGGCTGCAAGTAGATTGCTTGTTATTGATCCAGAGAATGCAGGAAGGTATGCTGTGCTTGCAAAGATGTATGAGGAATTAGGTAGATGGGAAGATGTGGCAAGTGCGAGGAAGGTGATTAAGGATAGGGGAGTGAGGAAGCCGCTTGGATGCAGCATGGTGGAAATTGCTACAAAGTTCCATACCTTTGGGGTGGAAGATGAGGGTCATCCAATGAGGTGTGAGATTTTTGGTGCACTGGAGAGGTTGAAGGGAATGGTGGATGAAGAGGAGAAGGTGGCTTTGTTGTCCTGATTGGCATATTGCAAGCAGGCCAAGCAATGAGTGCTGGATATCAATCTAGACAACATTGCTATGGATGATTCAGAAGAAGATCTGTTTGCGCAGGTAAAGCATTGCTGTGAGCATTTAACAGGTTGCCCGAATGGCCTTTCACTAGTTTTGCTTTGTACTATTCTGAGAACTTTGCTAACGTGCATCAAAAGATCATGATGTATCAGTGGACCGGATTATTTAAGTAGGAAGAAGGCGGAGATAGTGTAATTTTGGTGAGGAGCATAGGGGTGCATTTCTGCTGATTGATTGTACAGGCAAAGATAATTATTTATAAGGGGGATTTACATTCCTAACACTCAAAAACTTATGTATTTCATATATACTTCCTAAAATTTAGTATTTACTATTATAGCACCCACATTACGTAGCACTCATCAAACCTCAATTAAGCAACCATCTTCATAACAGAGAGAAGTTCTGCACAAAAATTCATTTTCTCTAAATCACATCCTGGAAGCAAACCAAGACGAGAATGGCAGGGAATTGCCTAGGGAAGCTCTTTGATCTCGTTGCTTCGAGCAAGATGCGGGGCAAATGATCGAGCTGCTCAAACAAGGACGAAAGTGAGGGAAGTGTGATGAGCTCTTCTTATCCGATTTTCCTTGCTGTCGATGAGGTTGATGACTTTAATTAGAGAGGCAGCGAATATAATATGCTCTAAATCTTTTCCCTCTTTCATTCCCTGTTTAATTAGAGCCAATGATTAAATCTCTCTAAAGTTTTCAAATAGTCTGAGAGGTATGATCTGTTGTCGCTTACTTTGTTTTGCATTTGATTTGTAGGTGAAATTTGTCATATGAGAAAGGAGACATAAGGGTGAGAAAACATTAAAAAAAATTAGTGTAGATTTTGGGAGCATAAAAATATTGAAGCCGTGGCAAGCAAAAACAATTTTTTCACATGTTTGAAGTATCCAAATTATGAATTAAAAATGAAATGAAATGAATATTTTAATAAAATGAATTGTTTTTTATGTCTATGCTTTTTTCCCTCTTTACTCAACTGTGGTGGCAAGCTCCTTATTATCTTGGCAGCAATTTCCACCATGCTGCATATAGCAAAATGATTACCTCTTGGCAATGTTGATAATGCCAACACCTTGATAATTGAATTAAAATTAGTTTTCATAAAATCCAAAATGATTACCTCTTGGCAATGTTGATAATGCCACATATCAGTTGGATACCAGTCATGATACATTGATGTGCACGCTCTCAAGAAGCTTGAAATGATCTGAATGCAAAACATAAAAAGATTGGCTATGCTCATGGTCATCATTATCATGATGTTTATTCTTCTTAGACTTGTTATGTATTTAATGATAATATCAAGATCATATCTCATGTATTTGTTCTTCTTAATCTACTTTTGGTACCTATCATTAATGCATCCAGTTTATTTTGATTATATTGCAATTACTCTTTATTTCCACTCGTAATTTTAATACATGTTTTATGGTAAATGATATTCATAAACAAATAACTTGTGTTAGCTGCTCTTCCCATCCCTGTACATTTGAGAGCATTAACTAAAATTGCTTTCTCCCAGTAGCATCAAATGGCAAAATATTTAATTTGAACACTGATTACATCTTTAACAATAGCCAGACAAGAGCTTGTGCTACTGTTTCAAAGGAATTTTTTTTAATAAAATTCTAATTTATGCCCATAGTCGAAATGCTGTTTTGCATCTTCAGAATGTTTTCTTGCACCAGAAATCTGATCATTTTTTAACTCATTGATTATGTTGTTTTCACTGTATTCTTTTGTCCAAATAGAAAGAGTTCCACCATATTAAACTCGGTTGTAGTGACTGTGTTAGCTGTAGAAATTAATTGTCTCGTTCAATGAGTACTTATGATGGCCACCAAACTTCCTGCATATTTACACTGAATTACTTGGTCCCATTAAACTCAAAAAATAAAATGGTGTATTTGAATTCTGGAGCATGTGTAACATTCAACTTTGAAATTATTTTCACACTTCTTGTCAATTAATAATATGTTATTAATAAACAACTGGTAATTGATCTTAAACTGATTTGAAACATAAACTTCATTGTGAATGTGTAGATAAACTAAATCATTTATGTGGGCTCAAAAAATTTGATGCCGCAGTCTCCCTCGAAAATTAAACAAAATTAAAAATGAGAATGAAAGAGGTTTATTATGAGGTTTTGGGTCAAATTTTTTGAAGATTTTTTGAAGATAGATGAGATATTAGATATGAGACTACCTAAAGATCATGCCCTTATTTTGCTAGGAATTTAAAATCTGGGGTTCAATATTTCCCACTGGTATTGGGCTCTATGGTTAATTACACCTATCAATAAAGGCAGAACATGTCACAACCGAACTCGATGCAACCCGCTATGTTGAGGTGGGGCACCACGTGTCAAGGTCATAATAAATAAATTATTACTCAAGATCTATTTGGAAAGAATTTCTTTTACTTATTTTGCTTCAATTTTCGTAAACGCTGAGTCACTAATATTATCAATAATATAAAATAAAGATACTCAAAATTCATTCAGATCATATAAATATACAATATATACAACAATCATGGTTTAACATTTTTATCATAAAAAAAAAAATAACATTACCATGACTGTAAAAAAATATAGATCTAAGATACTAACATACTGATCCACCTTAAAATAATTTGTTTTAATGTATGTTTAATGTTCATTGTATGCACATTTTTGATGATATTGTATTTTAAATGAATGTATTTTTGCATGTTTTTGGTTTCATGTACAAGAAATGTATATTTAGAGAAAATGAAGAAAAAATGAAGCAAAATGACAACACTTCAAATGATGTCATAGCGCCAACTTACGATCGTGATGGGCGCTATAACTCCCCAGACTGGCGCTATAGCGCCAGTAACTAACTTTCTAGAATATTCAATGACTTTGGCCGAATTTTTAAGGGATGTTTGAAGTGACCCTTGATTAATTTCAATTATCTATTAGAAGGGTCAATTGCTGAATGAAAAAGGAGTCTTGGAGAGTCTTGAATAGGGTTTGAAGGTGTGTAGAGAGTTTTTAATGGGTGTTTGAGTTTATATTTGTGAGTTTTTGTTTGTAGAAGAAGAGCTTGGGTATTGCTTGAATGAAACTTCAGGAATTGCTTGGAGAGAAGACATAAGATAAGTAATTTGTATTTGTGTTTGAGTTTTTGTTGTTAGGACTTGACTTTCAATTCAAATCATGTGTTTTTGTTTTATCTTCATGAATTATGAGTAGTTTTCATTTCTTTCTCCTTGCATATGAAAATTAATCAAGTGGGATGAGATTGATTTAAAGATTCCTTTTTATTTTATAAAATTGTGATGATATTTCCATCAATTCTTCATTGACTTTACAAACTGGTCATTTGTAATGTTAAAATCCATTATGAAACATAATAACCTGGGAGAGCTATGATTTCACAAACTTATGATGACCATACTTAACTTTCGAAAGCCGTTGTGATCGTCTGAGGGGAAGTGCAAGTAAATAGGGAGATAAATTTTGATGGACGTAGCATTGATGTTTCTAAAGTGACATACTAGATTTTTTTTATCAATTTGATATTGAGTTTGGATCTAAGGGCCCCTAGTAGGTCTTATAGAGAGGACACAGTGGGTAATTTGGAAGTGAGGCCAGAATCTACTCACACTACTACACAAGCTGGAGCAAACTTAAGGTTAGGCAATTTTCTTTGCTAGCACCGAGAGGGGGTGAAAAATATGTATGCTTCTATTTGTCACAATACATCATTTTATATTTTTAATCATTCAATTTCTACATTGATTAAGATCACTTTACAAGGGGAAAGATCTTTTCATTATATTCCAACTCGTTTAAACTTATTAATCTTTTGAACTTTGTTCGTACTTTTTGTTTAAACTTAGACTACATGTTAATTTAGTATTAATCCCTTACAAAACTTTCGAAATCATTCTCTTATCATTTTTATGTGCAATTTAGATAGAAGTTTTTCTAAGTTATTAGTAAAAAGTTACAGCTTTCCTTGTGGAATCGATATTGTGGTTTTTAAAGAAAATCATATATTAATTAAAACGATACGTATACTTGTGTAACACCCCTAGTATGAAGGCTTATTTTTTTTTCTAAATAATTTTATTTATTCACACTAGCCGCTAAATATAATTTAGACGAAACTTTTGGCAATCTTTTGAAGTAAAAATATATGTGTAATTGTAGGTCGGGTCACATACCTAATATCAAGATCTCATCACATAATGCAAAAGACTACTCTATTCAAGCTTTACCATTTCCTGAAACAACACATGCGAGCAAAGCAGGGGTGAATAACCACAACTCAGTGGACTATTCAAAATTTACTGCAGTTTTCAATATTTTAAAAAATAATAGACATGTATTCAAAGAAAATAAATCAAATATAGTAAAACATTATGTATTGTATTTATCACCATACCAACATAAGGAATAGTAACTGCAGTAAGCATGTGTTGAATAACAGTATGAATAACATGATATTATAAGTGCAAGAAAATTACATGAAGATAAAAATTCATTTTCTTATGTAAATTATTTTAACACTTTCCTCTCGCCCGTTATGCTTCCACTTCTATTTATCAATCTACTGGTTTATTTTTCTCCTATGCCCCTCACAACTCCACTTCCACTTATACCTCCACTTATTCCATCCTTTCGGGTGTATTAAACACACAAGAAATAATTACATAGGTGCAAAACCCTTATAACACTACTTGAATGCACATAACATACAACCGTCTAATCACAATCACTTGCAACTCCTTTCTTTTCTATCCTTTTCGGCACATATTTTGATACAAAAGCATATAAATGCTAACAAGTTGATATATCAAATATAGAATATGTTGTAGAAAGTGGTATATATTAGTAGACACAAGTAATAATGTAATTTACGGGGGAAATAAATCTACATATATTGACAAATAAAA